CTGGTGGGCTACCCCAACGTCGGGAAGTCCTCCACGGTGAACGCGATGTTGGGGGCGAAAAAAACCCTGGTGAGCGCGACCCCCGGCAAGACCAAGCACTTCCAGACCCTGCTGATCCCGAACGAGCGGCGCGTGGCCTTGTGCGATGGGCCCGGCCTGGTCTTCCCCTCCTTCGCCTCGACGAAGGCGCAGATGGTGTGCGATGGGGTGTTGCCGGTGGATACGGCGACCGACGTCCGGCGGGCGGCCGGGGTGATCTGCCGCCGCGTCCCCCGCGGCGTCCTCGAGCGCGCGATGAAAGTTGCCCTCCCCCCCGGCGAGCCCGACGAGCCCGAGGCCCCCGACCCGTCCGCGGAGCCCGCCGAGGCCGAGGCCGAGCGGCTGCTCGGCGCGATCGCCCGCCAGCGGGGGTTCATGGCCGCCCACGACCGCCCGGACCGCGCCCGCGCCGGGAAGGAACTCCTCAAGAAGTACATCGACGGGAAGTTGGTCTACGTCGAGCCCCCGCCGACGTACCGCCCGGAGGCCGCCGCGCTCTCCTTCGAGGGCGTTTTCAACCCGCCCAAGCCCGCGGGGACGCCGTCCGCCACGCTGAATCATCCCCGCGAACCTGCGGAGGAGGGGGAAAAGGGGGATTCCGCGGCGACGGCGGAGGGCGACAGCGATTACGAGGATTGGAATAGCGAAGTCGAGCGCGCCTGGGGCGACGTCGACGACGACGACGACGACGAACTCGCGACGAAAGACGCGGACGGGCGATCGACCGACAGCCACGACCTCGCGGAGGCGCTGCCGGTATTTTATGCCCGCCCGCCCGGGCTTCATCGGAGCTTCACCCCGTACGAGCACTTCAACCTCGAGAACAACCTCGCCTGGATGGCGGCCCACAAGACGGAAAAAAGGCGAAGGAAGCCCAAGAACCCCCAGCTCGAGGAGGATCCCTACACCTTCGTGAACCCCCACGGCGAGGTCGAGCTCCGGATCGACGACGATGACGGGGTGGTGGAGTTGGTGATGGCCCCGGGCGTGGGGCGGCAGCGGCCGACGGATAAAACGAAGCCGAAATCGAAACAGCAGCAGCGACGGGAGGCAAAGAAAATGGGAATGGGGCCTTTGAACCCTTTTGCGAAACGCGTTCATATCCGAGATTACTAAACGGTCGGCCCTCTGAGTAAATCCCAAATAGTTGAGACGGCGGCACACTTTAGGGGGGGGTGCCGTTCATTCACAAGGCTACGTCGTGTAGCGCGTTGTGCCCATGGCTGAAATAAAATCGATGATTAAATAAATGGTTTAAGCGCTTTTTTTTTTTTTGCATCGGTGTAGTTAAAGCGCCAATGAATGACAAAATAAGTGGAATTCGTACATTCGGTTAAGAATAAGATTGGGTTTTATTATAACAAAAAAAGGTGAAGGAAGAAAAAAGGGGGAGAATAAAACCATCCCGAACTTTTGGACTACACTATTGTCTTTATAGCTTCCGTCTTCAGCAATTTCGTCATATGGTCTATATTTTGCTTTAGCTTATAGGTTCCCGACTTCTATCAAAGTCATTGACATCCCAACTCGTGTCTACTGTTTGGTGGCACGCTAGCAGAATCCTCATCTGAGGCCGGAGAAGGCTTCCCTTCCCCATAAATAATCCAACCGAAGCATTTCGATTGGGTATTGGCCTTTATCCACATCACAGAGTGGTAGCGTCTTGTCCTTTTGTTGTTGTTGTTTTTTTAGTAGAATGCGGCCGTACAGACCGGCGTCGATGAAGCGGCTCAGGGCTTTTTGGCTTCGGCATCGCATCGGGGCGGGCGCCCGCCGCCCCCGCGTCCTGTTCGGCCGCCGCCCGCCGCCAGGCCCTCCTGGCGGCCCGCAGGCGAACGATTTCGCCTCCTTTTTCGCCGCGGAGCTGACGGACGGGCTCTTTTCGACCCCGAAGGACGCCGCGGGGGGTTCTCGATCGGGAGCTTCCCCCGCCTTCTCCTCGAGGCGGAGGGCGGCGCAGCGCCCCGCCGCGCGGGGGGTTTTGCACGGCGCGAATAGCGCGTTGTGGCTGCCGATCTTCACCGCCCTCCGCCAGCGCCAGGCGCTGACGGCGGGGGACTACTCCCGGATCCGCCGCGCGCTCCCCGCCCACACCTTCCAGGCGCTGCTGCCGTGGGTTTGGCGGGATAACGGGGGGGATGAGGTCAATCCCGCCCCGGGCGAAGCGGAAGAAAAAGAGACGGCCGAGGGGAATTGGGGGGAAACCCCACCGCCGGCGGGCGCGCTCGCGGCCGTGGAGGCCCTCCGCGTCCGCCCCCCGGGGCAGTGGCGCGCCATCGTCCGCGCGATCCACCGCCGCGAAGGACAAACGGCGAACCCGCCGGGGGCCCGCGATGCCGCCGCCGTCCTCGCGACTCTGCAGAGATGGCAGGACGTCTTCTTCGCCCTGAGCACCAACCCCGCCTTCTCGGGCCTCCCCGCGACCTTCCGGGAGGCCCATGCCGCGTTATTATCGCTGGTCCAGGCCTTCTACCGCCAGGCCGAGGCCCTCCAACGCCGCCTCGCGCCGCCCCCGGTGACCCCTGGCCCCGACAGCCCCCAAAAACCCCCCGGGGAGGGCGAAAACGCGGGCTTCGCGCGCATCGAATGTACGCGGATGCCGCCGCCGGTGGTGCGGCGCTGGCGGAAGCTCTACGCCGCCCAGCACGCCCTCCTGTCCTACGCCGCGCTCTTCCGCGCGATCGCGGACGGCGAGGCGGCGATCGCGGGGGTTTTGGAGGCCCAACACCGCCTCGCCGCGGAGGAAACCCCCCCGCCAGGGGGGGGATTGCCTAGGCTTTACCCCTGCACGACGGCGTTTCTGCAGGAGGAGGCGCTTTGGCTGCACTTCTTGTCCATTCC